AACAAGTCGCGCTTCGTAACCCCAAAAGTAAGGCCGTGGTGCCATCATCATGAATAGTGGTCTGCAATTCCATACCGCTTCGCTCCACACGCTCACGCTCAGAAGCCACAGAGGGCTTATGGTCGACGGTCTCAGCCACCACCCCATGGGTGGTCGGCGAAATCATCACAGCTTTGGAATCCCCGAGGTTCGCCACCCAAACTGTGTCATAGTCCGGATGCTGCAAAATACAAACCGCAGTGCATCCACAGACCTGTAGGGAAAAGTCCTCTTCGACAGATTGCTTCACTAAGTCCATCTGAACCTTCTCAAAGGCATGGAATAGAGCGGCCTTCACTTTGCCTTGTTTCAGCATGGTACTGCACGAAGCAGATGCTTGCAGGAAATATGGCAATGTTTTTGACGATCTCACAGCCGGCCAATGCCCTGCTTCTCCGTGCCCATCGAATAAGGAATACACGGTCCAGCCAGAGGGGAGAAGAGAAATCGAGCAGCAGTCTTGCCCAACAGATCGATCTCCATGTCCTTTTGACCACTAAGACTGAGATCGTCTTTCACGAAGGCGCATGAAAACATTGAAAGCATCGAACACTAATGTTAAGAAGCACATCAAATCTTTGGCCTTTGAGACTTTGCCCAACCTTTTAAACCAAACCATTATGGACAAAAAAGAGAAGAGCTCGCAAATCTCCCAAGGTGTGTCACTTCAAACGACTCTTTTTTGACAATCCAATGACCCGCTTTTCTTACACCTAAAAACTCTGAAAAAAAAGACCAACCGATGCAGTCCTTTGTTGCCCTTGGTATTCACAGCTCCGATGCCCATGCTCTGGAGCATCACTGCTCCGTTGGCACCTGCAGGAGACACCCGCCAAGGCCTCACCGCATGAGAGGCTTCCTTGCTCCAACGAGGCATCTGAGGCATCACATGCCAGGAGTTGCTGCTCCAAACCTTGTCCTCAGCAAGGAAACTCTCAGCAACGGAAAAGACAGTAAAAAGAAGAGAGAGAGAGAGAGAGAAAAAAAAAAGAGGGACTGGAAAAAAGGACGTGTTGGGTCCCTTAAAGGGTGCCTTATTCAAGTTACCCTCTTTTTGTCCTCTCCAAGGTACACCTCCAGTGTCACAAAGGAAGGGCCATACACCTTTTCTGGGGTAGGCAGCAGCGAGGCAACGTGAGAATCTTGATCATCTAGGCTCACAAGAACGAATCTTGACGAGATTGCCTTGACGACTCGTCAAGTTGATGAACAACAACTCGTAATGGTTCACCACCTGGTCTTGGACTAGTATCTATGACTGCCTCGTTTGTATCTTCCAGGATGTTGAGCAAGTTGCCCTCTGCCTCAAGTGTGCACGCAGGAAACAGTGACTCAGGAGACTTCCTTCATTCCTTTTGAAGCGCAAAAAGCTACTAGTAACAGGGACATCCCTAGTAGTAACAAGTGCATCGCTATTAGTAGCTTCTAGCTACTCGTAATGTATAATTGCAAAATAGTGTAAGCATTTGCGAAAACCAACTTTGCATCGTCCAACACAACAATCTCAAGCACTTTCACCGTGTCCGCAGATTAAAAAGCCAACTGACTTTGTTCGTCTGTTCTCATGGCTTTCCATTGGCTCCGCTATGCTTTCGTATGCAATCACATTGTATTTCTCCAAATCTCCCCGCTAAAAGCTACAGTATTTGCTTTCAGCCTTGTTCTCAAGCTCTTGAAGGTGTCAGGACGTGCCCAAGAACCCGGTCTTGCCTCGCATAATCTGCAGCTCTGCCCTTTTCAGTCCACCGTCTGTCTGAGATTTTCTGACAATCTCCTTTGGTTCCGTGAGGGTTCCAGTTCCGAACCTGAAAACACTGCACCTTCCCTTCTGTCCTAGGACTTGGGGCAGTCTCCCATGTCCTGTGAACGCGTCCACTTTCAGGACCTTCTGATCGCTTTCATCATTGCTTTCACTACACCTGACGTCTACACCCAACTTCTACACCCAACTTTACCACCTTTGCTCACCCACTCCACACCCCAATGGGACTGCCTTGAGTAGCTCATGGGTCTGGTGCAACTTGGCCAAAGCCTTCGGTGGCACTGACATCCTGAGAGCGACAAGGTCCCAAAGGGGGGCGATGCAAGCACGAAGAAAAAACAAGCTTGGTCATTTTGCAGAAATGTAGGTGACCGGTGTAACAAACAACTGTGACTTGACGCACCCCAAGCCACCCCAAATGAAAATATATAAAGACGACCCGGTTCGAATTCTACAAATCCAGCTGTGGCCACTGCAAGCCGGAAAGTTGAGAACCTTGGCATTCCTCTTCAGATTCAGAAATGACCCCTGTCTGTGACTAGTCATAGTCTTTTTAAGGGTCCAAATAACAAACTGATATCTTCACCTCGCCAGGACCTTCCCGGGGCAAGGCACGCGCTGAATCGCTGCACGCACGCCCGAGACCAATCACCACCTGGTTCTGAAAATTGTCTGGAATACCTCACGGTCACAGAAAGTGCAAAGAAATCGTTTGTTTCCTCTTAGTGAGACTTGAAAATTTGTGTTTGAATGGTCGCCCACCAGTGAGTTGTTTGCTTCAATCTTGGGATAATCTGGTCTCATTCGTATCAAAAGGCTTGACACACTCAAGACTGTTGGCACAAGCTCCAAGAGGGTCGTACGTAACCATCAGTATAAAAGTGAGGCATTCTGTTCTTTTCAGCAGAATGTGGAAGTAGCTTTACTCTAGTGAACTATGCTTTGCTGAATCCTTCAGTGGTGCACGATGCACGTATGTTATGAAGCTGTCCTTTCATCCCCAAATAATGGACGTCCACTTATCGATAAAGTGGCTAGTAAAGGAAAACTTGCTTCGTAGTCGAGCAGCGGTGACGCGCATTTGTCGAGAATCCCCAAATCCGAAATGGTATCTTCACGGTGCACAGAGGACTCTGTCAAGCGCCTGCACAGCTCTCTCCGACTGACTGTCTTAACTCCCAAGAACCTGTAAAAGGAGTAGTGATCAAGACCTTTCTCAGCAACTGCCAACTCCTGCCCTGCCTTTTGTTTCGGTGAGACATGATGCAGTCACATATGAATCAAGTATCAAGTGGCCTGGCTTTTTCTAGAAAAGACTGGATGCTGGATGCTGACGCCAGCGTGCTAGTACCTCTGTAATTAATACAGAATATACAGACCGAAGCAAGCGTGAAGTGTGCTTGGACTACGTGTGGTGCTTCATACATACTCAGCAATGAGCGGAAAAGGCTGCAAGTTCACAATGCGACAACGTGTTCCCAGATTCTGCAAGTTGATTTGTGTGCCAACAGAGCTGAGAAGCTGGCTGGAGATCTAGGAAGCTCGAATTGGTCCCCTCAGCAACACAGCTTATTTCAAGTTCCAAGCAACTTCCACAACTGCAAGTCTGTCCTAAGCGTCCAACCAGTCGGTGGAACATCACCTGCAACTCAGCAAAGTGAGCCAAGCCCATTCCCCCATTGTGGCAGGCCCCAAAACTGCGGACACCCAATGGCCCAAAAGCGACTGATTTGCAATTGGACAAACAAATTGAGTGAGTTTGCATGGTGTCCGTCATATCTTGAGAGTGGGCTTTTCAAGCTAAGTCTGCACCTCCAGGCTTTGAGTCTTGTTTCCCGTCACCCTGGTCCGGATTGCTACCTGAGCAGCTTGGAGCCAAGGGATGCCAAGGCCAAGTTGACTAAAAGGCTTCAGCAAGACTTTAAAATCCATCGCCTGAACTGTCAGAGCTTCCGTCATCCTAAGTCCAAGAAGCAAATCTTCCAACGAAGCCAGTTATATATGTTTTCTGCAGAAACCCACACCGAAAACAAGAACATTGAAAACATAAGCTTTGATTTGTGTCCACTGCAACTTCTGTCTGTCCAGCTGCTGTCTGTGGCAAACTCTGTCACCGAGTCTCCTCCTCCGCAAGCAGCCCACCATTCTGTGAGTTGCCTCCACGTGAGCATGGATGGTTGGTCTCTGGCAGAGCCCCTCGAAACTGGCGATACCCAAAGACCCAAGGCACAGCAGCACAAAATCCCCACATCTCTCACAGGGGTGGACTGGGTTCTTAATCACCTATAATCGGAAGTGGTCAAAGGCCCGGTGCCCAGCCAACCAGCCTTGGCGTGTGCGAAGCAAGCGTGCTTTCTTCCGCCAGTGCTGGCTGAGGACAGTGCTGCCCCGGAAGCCTTCCTTTGGCAGTGCGGAGAGATCTGGACCGGCCGGTCCTGTGGATTCTGAATGCCCATGGCTATGGCTTGAGCCTGGCCCATGGGGGGCCACGAGGCGCATGACCTGGTGTATTTGTTATTTTTTGCAGGACTGGTGGCAAAGCTGATGCCTCCTTCTGGTCTTTTTCCCTCTGCTCATCCTGCTTACGTGTAAGCTGAATCGCAAGCACAGCATTTTTAATTGCAGAACGGCTGGCACTGACGCCACCAATCATCGCCTGTGCTCGCACGGCAACGTCAGCAATCAAACAAGTTGCAATCTGCAATCACCAAGCAGAACCTTGAGGAAGACATCATTGAAGCCCAATCAACATGCCAAGGAATGTCGAGGATTTGATTTGCTTGAAGCCTTGCACCCTGGCTCCGAACAAACAGGAGCATGGTCTGGGGGGAATCTGATGTGTTATGCTCAAGGTCCAGTTTGTATGCAGCTGCGCGGCAGTGTTGCGTCTTGGTGTTGCTGCACGAAACTGAAATGCTGCGACAAGAATTCCAGATCATTCCCAAATGCTGCAAGCAAGCTGCGAGAAAAGAACAATTACCAGTACTGCAATCAGAGGAGAAGCAGCTGCCTTACACACAGCAACATCTCAACATCTTCCAACAAGCCCGAGGTAATGTCGTTAGATCCTCATTTTGAGACCAGTTGACCGTAGTTGGGGGACGACTGGCGATGCCAACACAAATCTCTCGTGGCTCCGGACCTGCCCAAACCGCCGTCTCACAGCGCTCTCCGTCCCAAATGGCCGACACAACATCTCCTCTGCACGACACGAACTTCTGCCAGATCACGGCGTCCAGCTCTGCCCTTTTGAGGAGCAACGATCCAACGAACAACGAACGACCTCGCGGAAAAATGAATGAACATTCAATTCAGGAAAGGTCGGCGGACCTCTACAGGTCGACCTTGAAAAAAAATGCATCTGGTCACCAAATTCAAGCGAATCAACCCAAATGAGAAACTGCAAAATGACACGGGGCACTCTCCCTCTCTCCCCCTCGTCCCCTTCTGTCCCCTCTCCCTCTTTCGCGTCCATGTGATGCTAAACCATGCTAAACCAATGAACACTTGCTACATGCTCTTGCTCGTCAATCGCCAGCAGCAGCTTTCCACAAACCTCGAACCTTGAGCTTCTCAGCATGCCGAGCACGCATATCTTTCTCCTGCTCCTCGACAGAAACCACCAGATTGATTGGCCTAGCACCAGTCACCAGCCTCACCCAAAACAGTTATATAGAAGTGGTCAAGTTCAAGTGTCAGTGTACATTGAAACCCCCTCCTTCGAGCAGGTTCGAGTGAGTATACTCAGTATCTCTAGTATGAATGAAAAGGCTCGCAAGTTCAGAGGCCTTGCCAGCTAGAGTTCAGTCCTCTCGGGACTTCTCGTCCTTCTTGCTACCACCCTGATGTCGGGGACATGATGCGAGAGCTTTGATTCCCTGTGTGGGGCGTGTTTTCAAAGTCAAAAATTGCGACGTTTTGAACATTTGAACATATAATATAATATATATATATATATATAGGTGTAATATCAGAACAAATTTGTCTGTAGCGACATGTGGGTATCTCACCAACACCGCGTTTCTCCAGTGTCCTTACTGTAACTTTTGGGGCAACCGACAATTTTAGAACATCATGTTGATCCATCATCCAGCCTTTTTCTTTTCTGCTTTTCTTTCTCGGAAACTCTTGGCACGGCCTCAATCCAAGAACGAGAAAACGAAAACGAATCTTCATATTTTTGTAAACCTGGAGAGTTTTAGTCCATTGACGCCCAAAGGGCTAGGTGTGGTCATTTCAGGCTGAGGCTGGCATCATACCTGAACTGAGACTCGACATAGTCCTGACATCAAGCGTCTTTCCCATTTTGTCAAGTTGGTTGATGGTTGTCTGATGGTTGTCTTTCATTTTGAAAAGGGGATGATTAGTGGCCTGTCTGCATGCCGGGCATTTGCCATTCATCTGCTCCACAATGTAGTGGACACAGAACAGGCAAACCTCAGCAGTCATGGAGTTTGGGTGTCCAAAGCAGCCACACAATGCCAGGCCTGGTAGTTGCAAGGGCAGGCAAAAAATGAAATGTCCGTCTCATCCAAGGTCTGCATGCAAAGTGGGCACGATTCATCCTGTGGCCAACAAACAAGGCATCTGCAGTCTTGCCCCGTTTAGATCATGTTTCAGGCACAAGAGCGTCGACAAGTGCAAAAAATAACATCAATGCAACCCTGTTGATGTCAAAAGCATTGCACCCATTTGTCTGATCAAAACCAACTGCACGTTCGATCACACCTCTTCGTCCTCATCGCCCATTACCCGTGCACCACCTCAAATCACGAGCCCCCAATGGGATGTTGGAGTTACTCCCCACTGATATTTCATTGACCACGCTGCGTCAAAGAGCCACACCCCACGAAGAGGTCTCCCCACGCGAGCCGTTTTCTCTGAGCCAAATGTCACAAGCAAACAAGTCACGCACAAAACATCGAAAAGTTGCAATCTCTTGATCTCTTGCCGGGCCGTTTTTGGGATGCAAAACACATGGAAACAAGTCGTTGGCAACGAAAGCATTAGCAAACAACTTTACCGCAATCCAACTCATTGCTTGAGCCTTGTGCACGCTCAACTCAAGCAATGACCGCCAAAAAAACGCTGCACCCAACATTGTCCAATTTTTTGTCATAGTCTGCCATATCATCAACGTTACAAAATTGAAGTCCAAAACGACAAGCGTTGAGGGACTTGGCCAGTGCAACATTGCGCATGGATCTCAGTTGGTATATTCAGCCTGTCAAGAATGATATAAGCATGGCCTACCCTTTATCAATTTTTTCCCAAGCGCTCTCTACATCCATTCAATATGTGTAGCGGAACGCGCGTCCCTTCTGCTCGCAAAAGTGGAACCTGTAAAGGTTGCGGTCAAATTCACCTGTGCACCCTATCATGGATGGTCATGACTGTACTGTTTACACACTATAGTTTGTCACGCAGCCTTCATGGCCATCCATTTCATGTTGTTTGCAGTGCGTGTATAGGCCAAGTGTCCGGCCTGCTGCAAACCGTTTGCACCTGCTGCTACTGTGGTATACTTCACCACTGGCATGTACTGTGACCATTTTGTGAAACGAACTACTCAGTATTGCGCTCTGTTGTTGCTGAAAGAAAGGTCAAGTCCTTTTCCATCACTTCATTGACCTGTTGAACTGCCTCCAGTTGTTTCTTCAGGGGGCCATTCTGGTAGTGTAGCTGGTCAATCCTCTCGTACAATTTGTGCACTATGTTGGGATCCTCACTCTTTGCACTTCCTGCGATGATCCTGGCCCATCACGGGCCTGCGGAACTCTCGCTCCACTCATCACCCATTTCATCATCATCATCATCATCATCATCATCCACACCCCGATCGCCGGCTCAAGGCTCCCAAGATGTTCAGCACCAATATGCTCATCATGGCACAGTCGATCCAAAGGCTTTCGCTCTCGATGTTTGTGCTTTCGGCGCCGGTGATCACGCTCACCAGCATGATCAGCGCATCTTCATGTCTTGGTCGCTTCTACTCATCACCTTGTTGACTTTATTTATCCTGCAGTCAGCCCAAAAGAAATCGTGGAGACAAGAAACAAAACTCGTCAACGTTTCGTCTCACGTTTCACAGGACATCAAGCAGCTGATGGCACTCTCATCTTTTTGACCACGGGGTTTCTGCGTTCATCTTCAGTCTTGCGATTGGCCTTGGGCAGGCCAGAAGGGCACACAAGAATGACTGAGATGTCATTTATGCGCTATCAGCTCAAAAAGAATGCATGGTGCCAAGAGACCACCATGGTCTTCGAAAATGATGCGCTTCAATGTGGCGCTGGAATCGAGCAGTCTGAACTTGCACATACACTGAGACAGGTGGTTTTCGTCCCGAAGCAACTGCAAAGACGTCCCAGTTCCCTGTCCCCAGTTCCCTGTCCCAAGTTGCCTGTCCCAGTTCCCTGTCCCCAGTTTTTCTGTTCCAGTCCTGTCCCAGTTCCCTGTCCCCAGTTCCCTGTCCCAAGTTGCCTGTCCCAGTTCCCTGTCCCCAGTTCCCTGTGCCTGTTCCCAGTTCCCTGTCTCAAGTTCCCTGTCCCCTGTCCAGCGCCCTGTTTTGGACCCACACGCTACAGCGACACAACTGATAAGAACAGATACTACACTTCTATGCATGTCAGTCACCTAGAAATCTCCGCCGCCTCGAAATGCGACGTCGAAAGAGCCTTTCGCTCATTCATGTCTAGCCGATTGGATACCACTTCAGGTAAGTGGCAACTGGTAAGGCCATCCAATCTTTTGTATATACATCAAGTATATCCCGTTCCGGCATATTTATGCCATTCCGACAAAAGCTTTCGTGAATTTTTTTTCCACGAGTACGGACGCCGTGTGGGCATGGTGCCCAGGTCATCGTTGAAGGGAGGAAAGAACAGTCTGATGGTGGAGAAAAGAACAAGAAAACCCAACAACACACAAAACAAACAACCACCACAACCAAGGGCACACAGGCCGTGTCTCCACCATCATGTAGTCTTTCCTCTGTGCAAGGTGAAACATGTGAGACGAGAAAGAGTGTCTAGAAAGAGGCCTGAATTGACGAAAGAAAAGCATATCGGCGCAGGTTTGTGCTCAAGCAAAGTCGCAAAAAGGCTTCAAAGGACTTCACTTCACCTTTATGAGTGACCAACGGCCACACCCCAGTGCGGCAAAATCATGGTCACGATGCAATTCTCCACTCAAAAACGGGGTATCGCAATGCTTCAACGTCGATTGCATCCCCGGCAAGTGGGGTGGCGTAGCTGTGCAGCATGCCGTGGAAAAGACCGTTCTTGTGGCACAACCCGTTCAACCGGTTGCACTTACAAGTCAAGTGGCATGCTACCAATCAACAATCAATGAGAGGCGACCCTAATCGACGAAAGCCAGCAGGTGATGGTGCGAAGAGACCCCCCCCGAAGGGAGGTCAGCTCAGCACTGTTTGGTACCCACAGGTACCAAATAGCAAACAAAGTGGAGTGTCTTCCAGGTTTCCGAAGCGCTGTACCGTTGCAAAAGTTAATCGGCTGCATGCAAGGCCAGTGTGAAACAGGTGAAACAGGTGAAACTTTGGACAATCCTAGCTTGGTATCTGCACTTCTTTGTACAAAATTGGAAATGTCGGACGTCAACAAAGGGAACTAAGGTTCCCCCTGGGCATCCGCCATTGCCACTCTCTACCACCCGCCTGTTAGGAACGAAGAGCTAAGGCTCTCACTCCTATTGGCTCACAGCAGTCCGAATGGCAAAGTGAGGTTGGTCAGTGCTTGCGCATCTTGCTTGCCGCACTCTGCTGTCAGTCAGCTTGTCCCCCATTCCAGTCACAGGTTCACCGGCTCTGTCTGGTCTAGTCCTTTTTCTTCCCTGCGACAACTGGCATCAGTCGACATTCCCTAGCATTGCCTGGACTAGATGGGTTATCCAGTTTGTTCAGGGACACTGGTTTTTGGCAATGTGCAGTTTATTGTCGTTTGTCGTTTGCTTGCCCCTAGCCTCGCCCTGATACTCTTGAGTAGAACTTTCTATGCAAGGGTACAATTGCGATGTTTCTCCGCTCCCTTCTGGAATTTGCCCTGTCATGATCGTTGACCTGCCTCGGACCCACGACGAGTATCTATGCAGAGAAACAGCACTACTTTACCGCGCTACTCCAAGTATTACTC